TGTTTTCATTTATAAGTCTGTATTCTGTTGTAATTAATAAATCCGTATTCTGTTCTGTATAATCAGTGAAACMTTTTATAACACGTCATTCAATAAGTCTCCGGTCTAACTAAGAAAAACAAATTTTATTTTAGAAATGTCACTATATTTATCAACATACACTCCTTTAAGAGTAATAAATTTCTTTTAATGCTCTTCTTACTTTTYGATACCCTTGCTAACCGACTTTTGAGTTTTTGGTCGCTTTGGACGACTTTTACAGGGTGCTGTTCACTCAGCTGATAATTTTTTTATTCAATCGTGTAGTGGTGGATCCATGTTTCATTTATTGTCACATACCGACACAAAAAATTATTTTTATTTCGCTTGAACAGCTCAAAACAGCGTTCTGAATATTTGACACGTTGTGTTGGTTTTGGTCCGGTGTGAGTAAACGCGGTACCAACTTTGAAAGCAATTTGCGTATGCCTAAATTTTCATGTAAAATTCTAAAGACACTACCTTCTTATATCTTCAAGGTGTCAGCTATTTTACGCAACTTTATTTTACGGTTTTTTAAAACTATTTTAGGGACATCTTTTATATTTTCCGAAAAAAACTGGCAATTTAATGCGACCAGAATGTTCAGCATCTCATTGGTGCTTGTACAACTGCGTTTAAATTCAGCATACCAATCAATAATAGATTATTTCGCTAGTGCAGATCCCCCCCCCCAGAATTCTTATCAAGGCACTGTTTGGTTGCAACAGTATTTTTCTCATCAAAAAAATGTGTTTAATCAACACACGAAATTCCTCTCTATCCATTGTCTTGAAAAATACAAAACTGGGGTCACTGAAACGACTGTTACCTTTAAACTAGCGATAAGAATGACACGAAATTTTGACACTTACTGTTTGAAAGTTAATGCTACTCGGAAATCACATGGGTCTCTCAACAATGTTGCCATATATGTGTCAGACTGAGGAATTATTGAGTGACGTGTTAGAATTGATCGGTAATATAAAAGAACAAATTTGAAGATAAACGAATTTAAGTAGTATCGATTAGTTCTTATAGTAACTACCAGATTGAAGTTTAAATATGAAGCTTGCTTTTCTTTAACCAGTTCATTTTGCTTCCATTATAATTTATTTAACTACTAGATTAACTTTCGCTTGTTYTTTTATTTCATTCTAATGATTATGAGGATAACAATAAGTAGAACGGRTAACAAAAGGTAAAGCGGTCGGGGCGAAACCATTTCTAAGGTGGAAAAACGTAATGTAAAAAGTGGTGGAACGTCCCAAAAGTCTAAAAGGCATAATTGTATCTACGCATGAACGGTCTGTATATGTAGTTGTCCTAAATGGAACTGATTATGTAACCTGCCTATGCACAATGCCCAAGCCACTACACTCCAACCTTGCTTTGCACGCCTTTGTATGCCCCAGCAATTCCCCTAACACTGCATTCATTAAAGTAATTAGACGAAAAGTACAAATTCTTCCCGGCGGGTAAAAAAATCCAAACAAAAATATTACATTGATGTTTAATTAATTATCGATTAAATTTGGATTATTATTAAATGATTTTATAGTGTCAATAATTTATTCTATCTTTGYAGATAGAATTAAAATAAAAAACGCCAAGAAAGATAAAAGAGAAAATATAAAATGTTTTTTATTTACAAGACAGAGAAAATTATAAT